AAGGGACATTCCCAAAAGACGGGAATTTCATCAAGCTCTTGTGGACGAAAGTATAGATGTGGCCTTGCTGCAGGAAACATTACTTAATCCGGGAGATCGTCTAGCTTTCCCGAATTACGATGTTATCCGGGCTGATAGATTAACTGGACGGGGTGGCGGCTTGGCAGTGCTAGTGAAACGCGGTATTGACTACCATAGAAGCACAAACGCTGACATGCAGAGCATCGAAGCGGCTTCCGTGGTGGTCAATATGACGGGAGGTGTGCCGTTAAAAATCACATCGGTGTATGTCAGGTGTGGTAACAGGCTGCAAGAGGCGGATCTGGAAGTCCTTTTAGACTACTCGGGTCCACTTATTGTGGCAGGGGACTTCAACTGCAAACATCGAGCATGGCATTCCAGGTTGAATTCCACCAGTGGGATCCGACTGTACAACATGTGATACGAAATGGCTACCTCATACATAGTACTGAGGAGCCGACGCACCACCCATTTAATCACCTTCAGGCACCTGATGTTCTTGATTTGGCATTATCCAAAAACTGTAGCTACAACATCACTTCTCGAATCATGTATGACATCTCAAGCGATCATCTTCCCGTAGTTTTGGAAGTGGCTAATGAGCAGATCTTGGGGGATGAAATCCCTCCAAGGAAACGCATTGATTGGGAGCTATACAAGTCGCTCCTCAAAGAGTTCCCCAATATACCGATCATAGATGATGAGAACGGTATAGATGCGGCTCAAGCAGAGTGGACAAGTTTTGTTCAGCAAACTCTGCAGCGTGCAGCTGTACTTCCCGTGCAGCGACACGGCAGACCTTTTCTGCCAGCAGACATTCGTCAGAAAATTTCTGATAAAAGAGCTGCAATTAAGCAAGCGAAAAGGTCTTGTCATCCTGATGACATTCGCAGAGCGACGAATCTTGTTCATGAAGTAAGAAATGCTCTTCATGAATTCCGCAATGAGCAATGGAACGACTTTCTGGCGGGGATGCTTGACTCAAGCATTCCTCTCTGGAAGGTGGCGAAGTCGCTCAAAAACGGAAAGCGTGAACAAATCCCACACATTCACGGTCCTGGAGGCATTGTCTTCAGGACAGAGGAGAAGGTTGAGGTTTTCGCCGATGCCATGGAAAGACAGTTCTCTCCCAACTATGATCTTGATAATGACCTCGACGAGGAGCAACACATCGTAAGATCTGTCAGGAGATATTTTAGGGCCAACGGCGTCAGTGACAGTCGCGCATTCGTTGGTGATTTTTCTTCATCAGAAGATTCTTCTTCAGAAGCTTCTTCAACCGAAGATTTGCTTAGCACATCAGCGGTATCTCCTGAGATCCCGCATTGCACACCAGCAGAGATTCAAGGTCATATTAAAGACCTTAAAGTGCGTAAAGCACCTGGGGAGGATCAAATCACTAATAAGGCGCTGAAGCTGCTTTCGCGGAAGTCCTTAACTTATCTCGTGGCAATAGTCAATGCCATGCTCAGGATCCAGTACTTCCCATCCGCGTGGAAGACCGCTGAAGTTATAATGATTCCAAAGAAGGTGGGTTCGATATTTCCCCAGGATTATCGTCCCATTAGCCTGCTGTCAGCTGCGTCTAAGCTCGCTGAAAAGGTGATTCTACGTCACCTTGAGAATTTCTCGTCAGATCACCATGTGATTCCTGACGTGCAATTCGGTTTTCGGTCTGAACATAGTACGGAGCTACAGGCGGTTAGGCTGGTGGAACGTGTAACCAGAGGATTCACCCTTAACGAAAGTACTGGCATCTTGCTTTTGGATGTCTCAAAAGCATTTGACAAGGTGTGGCACGCGGGCCTCTTGTATAAACTAATCCAAAAGGGCTTCCCTTTTTGGCTTCTAAAACTACTGAAATCCTTCCTTGAAGGTAGGAAATTTCGGATCAAAATTGACAATGTGCTGTCGACAACACGGCTGATTACAGCCGGCGTCCCTCAGGGTTCGGTCCTTGGACCTATCCTTTACTCACTGTACATCCATGACGTCCCTAGTCCCAGCAACTGTGAAGTCTATCTCTATGCTGACGATACTGCATTGGTGGCTCAGTCGTGGTCTGGTGACCTAGTCCATGACAGGCTGCAAAGTGCGGTGGAAGAAGTATTAGATTGGGCGGATCGGTGGCTAATTAAAATAAACCATTCGAAAACGCAGGCAATCTACTGTACAAAAAGACGTCGCGGCGTTCCGTCTGAAGTTTCAATGAATGGACTTCGTATACCATGGGAATCCTCCGCTAAGTATCTCGGTGTCATTCTGGACAAAGGGATGACTTGGCGGAACCATATGGAAGCGCTAAAAACTAAATTCCAAATTACGTTTCGGCAGCTTTACCCATTATTATGTAAACGGTCAAAATTAAGTTTGATTAACAAGATTCGACTCTATAAGGTGGTCATAAGACCAGCAATGACATACGCATGTGCGGCTTGGTGTTTTATTGCTAAAACACACATGCGAAGTCTGCAGGTTCTGCAAAGCAGGACGTTGCGCACTATTGCTGATGCCCCATGGTATGTCTCTAACGAAACTCTACATAGAGACCTCGATGTCCCTTACCTAAAGGACTACATTAAGCAACAGGCGCAGCGGCGCTATAGCCTAGCGGAATCGCACAGCAACCCTCTGTTGCGTGATTCAGTGGACTACACAGTCGAGCAAGTTCGCAAGCACAAAAGGCCGCGGCTCGCACTGTAATCAAAATTAACTCGTGAACTTAGAACAACCAAAATTGGAGCATTTTTACACAATCTTTAGAAAAAATCAAATATTTTTAGACCATATCAAAATCTGTGAAGCGATTTTAACAATGCCTAAACGCTGCATATCCTAAAAGATTCTTTTCTTCCCCTTTGCTCTCGTTCTTCCTTCTCTCCTTTCCTTCCCCTTTTTTCCTTAAAATTGTCTGGTTTCTGGGTTACCAGACCTGACAGACTTACAAACTGACACTGTGACTCAAGAGCTAAGGTCCCACGGACCGCTCTGACAACCAACGATGACTTGAGCGCATACGTCAAAATAAAGTTTGACATTTAAGTCACAAGAACTCAATGGGTGCGCAATGATAGCGCCATCTACCGGATGTCGAATTGAAATATTTTGTGCTTGATAGCAATATAAAAATAAATAGATATTAATGAAAATAGTAGATGTCTAACCAATTTTGCATTTCAATCTAATTAGTCTCTTTTGACTTGCCAAATGTTGACAGCGACATATTTGCAAACGGATTTCCATTATGAGTCTGATGATATTTATCTAGCGATAGATTCAGTTCCCCCCACTATGCACTTCACTCCCGGTGGATACGTTATCGCTAACATTTATGTGCGGTCTTTGTGGTTGCCAAAACTCTCTAATATGTCAGTTAAACGGATAGATAGCAGTGACATTGCATCGAAACGACACCGACGCCCAGAAGTGTAACCGTAGCTGTTGGCGGTAGTATAAACAGCAGCAAGCGGACGTTATTTAAAATATTAGCAGCGAGCAATTAAGCAACAGCAGCGCGGCAGCACGGCGAGCATTGCAAATCTGCCCTCCGCAAATTAATATCTCGCGTAGATCGCGAACAATAAATTATTCCCCAGCGTCGAGCAATATAAACTAAAATTAGGATTATGCCCCCGTTTTCCTACCCCCCACGCACCCCCGGATTGCCCTGCAGCCGTCGACAGTCGAAACGTGGGCGCCGTCACCGGTATGTAAAGTACTGGTAGGGGAAGGTCGGGTAAAGTGGTCACCCTAAGCCTTGAACGCATGCCAAACAAATAAATGTGAACCTTTTTCAAATCAAATTCATTATATTTTCCCACTAGCTAATATAGTTTCGATATTACATAGCTTTTAAACGATTGTTCTGATAATTTAAGCGTTATTTAATATTTAAGCCGAAATGGGATGTTGACCACTTTACCTATCCTGGTCGGGTAAATTGGCCCATACAAATTCATAATCGGGTAAAGTGGCCTACTTCAAATAAAATGATAATAAAATAAAGATTTATTCAAATTTTGCATAGAAAAAATATTTATTGTACAACACTATCACAATTGTTCAGGTAATTGTTTATAACTCAAAGTCTTTTGATTGTTTATACTTATAAAATTATTAAATAAATGTAACTTTCCTTCATTTAATGACAAACTAAATAAAGTTTTAATTACTAAACTATGAAATGCAAATAACAAACTCTTCATTATTCATTAACATTCAATAAAAAGAAAATATTATCACGAACAGAATTCGCAATGAAGGACATCATCGGCGTCATCACAACCCGAGCATGCTTCATGGGCCCATCGCTTGCAGCTAGAGCACTGTATCCAGCCATCTTCATGTTTTGATTTAGACCAAACTTCCCCACAGTAAAAGCATTCAGGGTCATCATCGGCCTCATCATCAGTATCGTCACTTTTCTTAATTTTAGCATTGTTTGTATTTTTACCACGTTTTTTAACGTTGGTTTCAGCTTTAAGTTTTTTCCCAGTTTTAGTTGGTTCAAAAATAGCTTTAGTCACTCTCTTCAGTTCTTTTTTTTGTTGTTGCTGTGTTTTTTCTTCCTGTAACTCATTTTTATAAGGACTACTCGTTAAAATTGCTGTACGTCCCCTCTTTCTATTTATTTTTCTAATTTTAGCCAATGCTTTGGGAATCGGAAATAAGTCTTCAGGCGCTACCGCGAAGGATGTGCTGGGTTGTAGGTCTATGTAAGGGTTCAATATTGGCGAAGTAACTGGTAGCGTTACATTAATATTTTCTTCCTGATCCAATGTTGGTGGCGTAACTTGTAGAATAGATGGAGACTCTACTCTTTCAGGTGTCTCATTCTAATTATTAGCTTCATTTTGTTGTAGTTCCTGCTCAAGAAGAATGTTATCTGTTGTGTCTGCTGGCACAAAATCATAATCTTTGAATACGTGGCGATCCATTGGTTCTACCCCACATTTACGAAATCCATTGATTGCAATGGATTATTGTGCTGCCTCGCTGTATGCTTCGCCAAAAAGTTTGCTGAATTGGAACACAGTCAAGGCTCTTCCTGGGTTATTGCGAAGATACTTCTCAACTGCACGGATGTAATACTTATTCAAAGGACCCATAAAAGACACGTCCAAAGGTTGCAGTCTATGTCTGCAGTGTGGAGGCAGACACAAGACGGTCGTGTGATTTCTTCGTGCCATATCAATGAAATCCAAATTCTTGGTATGTGAATTGTGTCCATCCAAAATTAGCAGTGCTGGATCATCTTCAGTTGGCTTGGCAAATTTAAGAAAATGCTTAAACCATGCCGTAAAAATGTCCAACTGCATCCACCCTGACGAATGACACGCAAAACCAGTTCCTGGCGGTGCCCCATCTTGAAGTTCAACCTTCATTCTCTTCCGGGGAAAGATAATAAAAGGTGGAATGAAGTTACCGCCAGCGGCCATGCAAATTACAACGGTGCTTAATACACCTCGTTTTGCAGAGGTGATGACACCCACCTGCTTCTTTCCCTTTTTCGCAAGTACCTTAGAACTCTTGCTCTGCACAGTGGTGAAACCAGACTCATCCACATTGAAAATGCGATGAGGTGGATAGTTTGTTTTAGACCTTACTTCTTCTAGAAGGTCAAAATATTTCGTGACACTTACTTTGTTGAAACCTTGTGCTCGGGCAAGAGAAGTTGCTTCTGGGCTTCTCAGTGTCAGTTCTGGATGACGCTTTCTAAAATCAGAAGCCCATGCTTTTCCAGCCATTTGAGTGTCTTTATTGAAGTTGTGTTTTATATTGTTGCGTTCAGCTAGTTGAAAGGCTAATTTCCTTACATCCCGCAATGTTAATCCGTAGAAACGATTCTCAAGTTCCAAAATGTGTTGTACTAATTGTGCCTCTTGTACCGGACTAAAAATTGGACGTCGTGACCTCAGTATTTTAACATTTTCAACAGCATGTTTGTTTTTGCCTTGTACACGCCGTTTAAGCGTTGATCGGGGAACACCGAAGACTGTGCTAGCTTTAAGAAAGCCCATTTCCCCATTTCGTACAGCTCTAATAGCTTTTTCCATCTCTTCCGAATCCCATGTCTGCTGCTGCGTCGTCCGTGTATATCTAGTTGGCATACCTAAAATAACACAAACCATTATATGGTTGCAGGAAAAAACACTAAAAAGGTAAAGTGGCCTACCGGGTCACTTCACCTTACCGATTTGGTAGGCCACTTTACCCGAATTGGCATGCGGCGAAGAAAAAAATAATTCAAATAACAAATGAGGTTATATTGACCTACTTTGCGGTGGAATGAATTGCTCATTTCATACACTAAACCAATAAAATCGTACATTGTTTCTCTGTGAATCTGATGACAATATATTTTTACTATGTTTAAACCACTCACCTTAGATCAAAGACCACTAAAATATATTTTTTCACAATAAAATCCTAAGACAAGCACTGATCCAGTTGATGGTCACGGAAGCAATATGGCGTCAACCAATGATATTATTCCCATATCCCGTAATAGATGGCGCTTAATGGTTCGTTTTTAAAATGAAGGTGGCCACTTTACCTGCCTGGGTCACTTTACCCGACCTTCCCCTACAGATATGCAACTAAACTACGTTTAGTCCCAGCATACTTATGTTATTAATAGTTCTTTATAAAACGAATGTAGCAATAAAAACAATTCTGACTTACGTCGAAAAAGTTCTTGGTTCCTTGACTTGGAAAGTACTGCTCGGATTTTAATGCAACTTGGACACAAGCCTACTACTATGCCAAGGACAAAAAAGCTTAACAGTTTTTGAAACTTAATCCAGTTGCGGCGGATGTACAGGCAAAGAAAAACAAAAAACAAAAACCACCCAATACTTATTCTTTGACTGATAATTGGTGGTGAAAGCGAAGGCAGTGCGAAAATGTTTTGTATGTGATGTGTGGTGCTGATTTCCCCTAAAGTTTTTGAAAATGTACCGAAATCATGTATAACTTTAAACATAACTTCTATTCAAAAAGGACAACACAAACAACCCGTCTGGTACAGCTAAAAGATATATTTTGTGGGTAGCATATTCAATAATAATTTTCTCTCATAGCAAATATCACTGATTTTATACCCATGCAGAACACGAATACACACGTTCATAGATATGATCTTGCTACTCAACTACACATCTCAAAGTATACCCTACAGCATTCTGCAACCAACAAAGCATGATACTATTTGCACACTAGGAACTATCTAGACAGCAAATTGGCATTTTGTCGTTTTTTTTTGACGTGTTATAGGTTTTTTACATAATAGCCCTGCCATGCTGAAGACTCCAAGATGCCAACGATGTTTCGAGTCAAGCACGCTATTAGACAATATTTTTATAAAATGCTTGTCAAAGAGTAATGTCACTTAGACATTTGTAAAGTGTTTCAGTGGTGTCAGCCGTAAACAGTGAAAATATTCTAATATTATGTACCCAAAGCATCTTCATTCTGTTTTTCTGCATTCTTTTTCGCTGCAGAAAATAAATTTTTCTCCCAGCGTGCTGAAAGTGGCACTTTTCCGCAGCATTTCAGTTTGAAAAATGTCACCGGGTGTTAAATTTAATCATTGTTTACAATACGTCATTGTCAACATAAACGAAATGGAGATGCCACATGCTGAAGGCTGATTAAATTTTCTACTTAGTCAACTCGATAACCAGGAAAGAAATTACCAGCACTAGGACTTTCAATGAACAACGAAATTAGTTGTAGTAGGTAAAGCAAAAGATAAATTATAAAATTTACTTATGTTTACGTTTTTTGCCTATGATCTCAATTGTTAAAATATAGGTATTGTTGTTTTTGTCGTTACGCGCTAGTAGGAAAAATGTTGTTCCGAACTCCGGTCCTCGTGATTCGGCTAATTGCAGTCGCATGCGGAAAAATAACTATGTCGCGATTTCGTATTATTTCATTGTGAAACGACGAAGATGAGGTTATATACGCTGTCATCTGACAAGTAAAGGTTGCGACCCTATGACTACTCTATCTGGCGACTTTCGATTCCAGAAGTAGCCAAGTCTGCATTATTGGCGACGTAGGCATGGCGTTCCAGTCAATCAGGGCAGAGTTCTTAATTCAAATGATTTTTTTTCGTCTGTCGATCAGTGGAGCAAAAGAGTTGAGTTAGAGTATAAATTATACCAACATACTTGCGTTTCTAGGTATCGAACCGATCAATGTTGTGTCGGGAGAGAATTCGCCACGTCATTGTAGCAGCGCCTGGGAAAGCAAACCGGCCGTTCGTTGCCTCGTTGATCGGATCGATATTGTATCTATCTGATAAGTTTTTCGACCCGATTGTTACAACATGATAAAGGCGCGTCCTGTGGCCACCTGATCCATTAAGTGACAACGGCTTAACGAGAAACACGGAATCTGCTTACTCGGGTTTTTGGCGTGGCCGCACCTACAGGGCTTGTCACATTTGCGGAGCTCAAAGTAACTTTTGAGCGTTTGGTTAAAAGCATGTCAACAGATTATAGGTTTGTTCGTACAGTGTCGGTGACTGTGTCTGGGACCGGGCCGTGTGAATTGCGTCTATCCGTACCAGAGTAAACGGAATTTGTGTGGTGGGTCTTGGATACGGTCACTGACAGGTTGGCGACTTATGTTAAGTTCTTCCGTATGGTTTTGGAATCGCATGTGTTTTTTTAATGGCATGTTTTCTCTATTAAACTGAGGTAAATAATTTAGTTTACCTTGAAATCCAGCAGAATGATTTAATACACGGTGTTTCTTGAACATGTGGCAAACATTCGAACAGTGTCTCTTTGGCCTATTTTGTCCTTTGAGCGATCGAAATTTCGATGAAATTACATTACCCCGAAAATATATGTATTTTTTCATGATTTCGGAAGCTTCGGAAGGGTCCGTGCAGGCAGAAACGTAAATGCCAGAATACTAACGGCTGTTATTAAGATCCCAAGGGAATTGTGTTAATCCGATTTTTAAACTGCCTAAGGTTAGTAGAACTGGGAAAATCCTCCTCTTGTAGATTATTCCACAATCTGGACACCCTCGGGTCAAAGGAACGGTTGTATCGGCCAGTTCTGGATGTGCGAAGTTCGACACGGTTAGGATGGGAGGCCTATGTCAGGCGGGTCTGTCTGACGCCAACTTGGAGGAGAGGTCTGAGGAGCGGTAGAAGAGAGATTAGATCGCTGAAGGCTTGTCGGCGTGAAAGGGTCCCAAGACTATCTATCTCCTCTGATCACCATGATTAATGCAGTCGGGGCGGCAGCACCCCAAACGTGTGAACAATACTCTAGGCTAAGTCTCATCTGGGCCTTATATAGAGTGGGGAGATCATGCGGAGAAAAGTACTTCTTAGCCCTAAACAAATAGCCAAGCTTTTCGCAGCAGCTGCCGCTATTGACGAGATGTGTGCGTAACAGATCCTCGATGATCTGGTCTCCGAACAGCTGAAATGAACGGTTCTTTAACAGAACTCGGCCATCCATCGAAACCCGATGAGCAAGCACTAGGACGCTTTTTATTCGCCAATGTAGGACTCATGCTTGTATAAAAATTCTGTGCTATTTTTATATGCCTTGTTCACTAGAAATATTGAGACTGTTTTTTGATTAACACTAAATAGTTTCACTTTTCTTCGATGTATAACTAAATGCCTACTTCGTGACATATGTGATAGTATCCAAAAGTTACTGCACCTCACGAGACTTTCTTGTGCCTAGCCATGTTCTCAGTAACATTCTTGAGAATACTACTTAGGGAAATGTTTTGTTTTTGAGTAATTACTATATAGGCATCAGGATAAACACCATTATTTTCCACGAGCATCATCCAGCTGGCGGATCGGGTTTGCCCCTTGCATCCCCTTTTCCTAACCCCCTGGGGAAAACGAAGGCAACGGGTGTAGCATAGCATGGCATGCCATGGCAGGCTGAACGTTATTTATGGACGCTTTTCCAGCATACGAGTGCGAGTGTGGCTGGTCTGTCGTGGAAAAGCAGACCCCGTATAAAACACGTATCGTGTTCGCTGCTTGGCCCGCTAAAAGGGAATGGCGGTGGGCGGGGGTGTAAGGGAAGGAAAGGTAGAAAATGGAGGGTTTCCCGACTGATGGGTGGTGGCTGGCGTGCTCGCTGAAAGTGTGAGTGTATCGGTCACTTAGGGGTGGAATTTGCATACAGCGTTGAAAACGGGGAGGATTTGCGGTATAGCTATATTTTTTTTAATTTATTTATTCATTTATTTACACCATCAACAGAACAATCAATTATTGTTGGGAGAACAGAAGTTTACATAGTACAATACATAAGAAATATAACAGTCAAGAGACAATTACGAAGGTGAATCAAATGTGAGCTCGACTTTTGTTTTAGTAATTTGTGTTGTTAATCGATGCAAAATTTCGGTTCTACGCCCCTTTTTGTTGACATCCATATCCAGCATATATCAAGACGCCGCCCCACTTCATTCACCTATGTCGCGTTAAACAGGAAGGTCCGGTTCATATTTGATTCACCCTCGTATATAACAGATTTGCAGAGGATCTTAATAGAAGTCACATTCGTATCAAATATAACAATTCTGTTCTGTACATTGTTCAAGCACTTACACAAGGGATATAAGGGAGAATGCAGTCCGTTCTTCCTGGGGGTTGGCAAATAAAACTTTAGGACGCTTCTGGTGAGACATCTTGGTATATTAAACGACAGGCGACTTAGAATATCCGGACAAGTATTGGTTGTGAATAACCTTGAATAAGAATATCAACGAATGCATTTTTCTTCTCTGGCCTAAACTTAGCATATCGTGCCTCTTTAACAATACATCCTTGAGGAACGCCTATTTCTGAATAACTACCATCTATCCTGTAGGATAGATATTTTAGAAACTTGCGTTCCATTTTTTCAAATGAGTCACAAGTCGTCACATAGCAGGAATTCCAAATAATTCTAGCGTATTCAAGTTTTGACATTACAAATGCATTATACAACATGACTAGCGCTCTTATGCTATCAAAATCACGCGAGATGCGCAACACAGAACCCAGACTTTTACTTACAGAATTTGTATGCGGATTGAAACTGAAGGTTGGGTCAAAGATGACTCCAAG